AAAAAAAAAAAAAAATAAATAAATAAAAAATAAAAAATAAAAAGAGTAGGGATGTGTGGTTATCAGACTGTAACTGTCCCTGTTTGAACACTGCTGTGTATAAGACATAGGATGTGCATACTATCAAAAGCCTATGCTTTTTTTTTGTGCCAGTGATCAAACTCAGGGCCTCGCGTTTGCTAGGCAGGTGCTCATACTGCTGAGCTATCCACCCAGCCCCTATGCTGGCTTTGACATATCTGGGGATAAAATCAACAAAAGATGTACCAAGGAAGTAGAACCTCAAGCACATCTAGAGCAAGCTAGCTTGAGAGAGGCTGCTGCGGGTGGATGTGTTGTTTAGGGAAATAAATGTCATCTTCTCCCCATCTCTCATGGTGAACTAACTCTGAATTTTGCAAATTCTGTGATTTTCCAAAGATATCTTCACCTGTTAGGGTAGAATGAAATTGGCCGTTTCTGAAATCAAATCAAAGAGCTTCTATAGTCAAGTAGAGAACATGGCCTCTGAAAGCATTGTTCTCCAGTGAGAGCAAAACGGAAAGCAAACATTGTCAGAAATTCTTAGATCCTTGATCGTTTTTCCCTGTAGACTCATTAATACCATCTGCCAATAAGATACTCCCAAAGTCTCATGGCTGAACAAGGGGAAAATAGTGTAGGAGACTGGAAATAGAATTATCCCTAGCACAAGAACTTCTATTTTTCTCCTGAACAGTATGAAAGTATTTCAGATTTTTTCTTCTCTAACATTAAAATAATTTTCAATAAAACATTAAATCTAGTTGGTAAGGTTGTCAATTTGGAAGCTATTAGGGAACTGCTGGTTTTTAGGCTATTTTGCCAGAGGACCTTGTCATGCTGGCTTTTCTGATGGGAACTCACCTTTCCTCATCATTGGAAGGGCTCGGGACCTCACCGTTACTGATGATGGCTGTGTACTTTTCAGGGAGCTCTGGTTCTTACCGTAAGTGTTGCTTCCTGGCTCCAGTGCAGCCCCCTCAGCCTGCTAGCACAGGTCCTTCACCCTGCTGGCACAGACTCTCTAGCTTCCCCCACTGACCTTCGGGCCTCTCCAGGACAGACCTATAAGGCTGGCCTGCATGAGATAATGCTGAGGGCTCTAGGCCTCCAGATGGACTTGTGGGACACACCGTTATGAGCTCTAGGTCTGCCGCTAGACTCAATGCAGGACATCATCATGAGATCCAGACCTCAGATGGGTTATTTGCTCTTTAGTGTGTGGACAGATTTCCTGCACTTTTTATATATGATTTTTTGGGTGACTATTAGAAATAATCTTACAAAATGTGCCCTGTATTATTTCCCCTTGTAAACCCTAAAACATAACAAATGATAAATACAGGACAACTCACAAATGCTATGACCCTGGCCATTTATAAAATTCTGTGTGTGTGTGTGTGTGTGTGTGTGCCCGTGCGCATGCCTGAATAGCCCAAGATGGGGCAGGCCATCAGATGTCAAGTGAAGAAGACCTGCTATCTCTACACAGTGTTTCCTGCCACAGCCTGAAAGGATAGTGAGCTGCTGTTCTGGGTCAGTGTGAGATGAGCCCTTATCAGAGTCCGTGCTCTCAGGAGAAAAAGGCTGGGGCATGGAGGTTCCTGGGAGAAGCAGAGTCTGAGGGGTGGGGAAGGGAGAGGCACCTTCTCCTGTCTTGTGGGCTGGGCTGCTGGCCTAAGACACTATGCTGAGTGGTCTTTTGCAGGTGATGTTTGAAGAATATACTGGCTGTCATTTAACATTTATCTTCACTCTGCTTCTTCAGTCTTCAGCCCAGGGTCTCAGGTGGCATCCGGTCACATGTGGTGTGCACGTGTACAGCTTGGCAACATCCAGCAGGCGTCATGAAGGGGGATCTTCCCTAGAGGCTGTTGCCACAGTAAGGCAGCTATGGACAGAGAAGACACAGCAGCTGGACCCCAGCCCTTGTGGTAAACTTGGTAAGGTGGGCAAGCGATAAGAGACGCACGTACACACAATGCTGGCTTGAAAGCAGCGCGGCACTTGAGAAATGTTAATAATGCCATTAAAAGTCATCATCAGACAAACAAAATATATTTATTAGAAATATTACAGCCATACAGCTTTATATTTTTATGTTAATAGTTAAATACATCTATGTCTGCATGTCATATCCTGACAGTGCTTGGTGCAGTCTAGTGTGCTCTTTATAGAAAGGAGGCCACAGATGTACCAAATGCATTCAACTAATGTAGTTAAAATTAGTGAGCTACTCAGGATGTTACAGATTCAGCAAAACTCCAACTGGGGTCAGAAGACTGAAACACCCAGTGAACTCGGGCAAAGACATCTTTACCTGTTAGGGTAGAATGAAATGTACATAATAAAAGTACTATTTTTTTTTTTTTGCCTTTTTGAGACAGGGTTTCTTTATGCAGTTTAGGCTGGCCTTGATCTCACTTTGTAGCCCAAGCTGGCCTCAAACTCACAGGGATCCTCCTACCTCAGCCTCCTGAGTGCTGGGATTAGAGGCATGCGCCATCACACCTGCTGAAAGCACTTTCTTAAAAGGCTGTGAGACTGTATAGTTTACTGCATGTCACTGGTAGGCATCTCAAAATGGCACTGGAACTGTGGCATGGTGAGAACTAACTGCGGATGTGGCCACAGGATGATTTGACACAGCTGCCCCTTCATAGGGAATGGGGAGGGCAGAGAATGAGGCTCAGCTGACATTAGTGGGTGGCAGGAAAGAGCTCATGGCAGATAGCTGTTAAGTGTTAGATGGCTAATCGTTTGGAACTTTTTTTTTTTTTTTTGAGATGAGATCTTACTATGTTGCCCAGGCTGTCCCAAATTCCTGGGCTCAAGTGATTCTCCTGCCTCAGCCTCCTGAGTAGCTACACCTACAGATGTGTGATACCAGGTTCCACAGGACATGTTGTTCACTCACAGCATTTAATTTGGAAGATCCCTACAAAACCCACAAACAACAACTGAACACAGAACAGAAGTCCAACATTGTTTTTGATGTGAGAAAAAGGACAAGGGAGAGAGAAGCTCCTCAGAGAACTGCTGCTCAGAATGCCCTACTCATCAGTCAGCAAGATGTGATCCATGAAACAACTCACTGCAACTCATCTCTCCTCAAATCCTAACTCCTCTGGATCTTCCATCTCACAGCTGTTTTTATATAAATATTATATATTAAAAATGTATCTACACAACCACCAAATAATTTTACTAAGTACCAGCAGAACAGAAAAGGGAAGACACAGCTTTATGGCCTTTGAAAACCTCAGGACAGACACCTGGGAACAGTACAATTAATTCAGTAGAAGTAAAGGAAACAAGTAGTACAGTACTTTGTTTTTTTAGTTACCAATTTTTCACATTCATTTTTGTGCTCTGAGCACTCCCCAGATCCCACACCTCCAAGGTCAGCTGGCTGGCACCTCTCCTCAGGGATCTGGTGGTACTGGGAGCCTGGCTCTCTACCTGCTCCTGTCAGCCCCACACCAGATCCTCTCACAACGCCTGTTTCTGTGAATGGGGCACAACATTCCCCTTCAACGTCTCCTGGCAAGGAGAATGGCAGCCAAGCAGCCTCCTTGAGTCACAAGAACAAAACTGTGCATGGCTTTTTGTTGATATGACATTTCCTTCCTTCCTTTTCAACCTGAAGTGAGTAGGGTACAGATAAGGAGGGCTGGGTTTGGCCAGTCACTGGCAATGTGGGTTTGTACTGGAAAGGAGTGGGAACATGAGGGAAACCATCTGTCCAGCACAGAGAGCACTATTCCCACAGCTCCATCTAGATCCTTTGTATGTCACCACTGAAATCAAGCATCAACCAAGCTAAAAACCCCTCAGGAAATCCCAAGATTTTGCTGCCTCACTCACACAAAGCCCTAGGGCAATGGTGATGAACCTCTGTCCTATGGCACATACATTACTGTTTTTAAGACAAAAGATGTTAATGTATGTTTTTGCTTTTTCTTTTCTAAACTAAAACCCCAGTATTCTGGTTTAATTGCAGTTGGCACTTTGTAATAAGTGGGCTTGGGGTTGTGGTTTGGACACTTAGTGTCTAAAAGGTTTGCCATTGCTGCCTAGAGTAATTCCAGTTTAAACACAAGCATTGGTTGATTAACCCAGCAGCTTGGGACAGTACTCCTGGGCAAAGCTGAAGCTTAGAGACAGTGAAGATACAGCATCAGTTATGTCAACAAAAGACAGGCACAGGAAGCGACACAGGTAACACTCTTTTGGATACATTCATCAGGAAGGAACAAGCTACACTTGTTCCAACTGAGCGTTGGTTTCTATTTGAAAATTAGGGAGCCAGTTACGTAATACTGGTCCCAAAAGAGCTGCTCAGGAGCTCCTGCTGCTCCTCTAGTACCACAAGACTGCCCAGGAGAGGGGCGGCCTCCTGTGTGGCTATGTGTATGCGTCCCAGAGAACTCTGAACATGTATGAACAGTAGAGTACATCTGGCTCCTGGTCCAGATACTAGGACTCACCTGATTGGGCAGGTCTCGTGGGGGTGTGGGGGTGTGTTTGGAAGCTCCCCAGGGGATTTAGACATTGAGCCATAGCTGAAAACTACAGAAATAGCTGGGAGACTGAGGTTCTAGCCTTGTACTAGTTGAGGCAGCTTGAGAATCAGGGCTGGCCTGCCCAGCAGGGTCCAGCTGCTATCTCTCAAAGAGCTAATCTGGAAAGGACAGAGCTCATGTAGCTCTCAGAACAAGGACTGAACCAGGCTCTGAACATGTGGCTCAGATCAGCAATCAGAGATTCACTTTAAATAAATTTTGGTAGTAACTGTAAGATCTATAGGACTTGTACACATGACCCTTTGTCAGACGGGCACAAACACACTGCTACTTGGTATTTAAACAGCAAGTGGTGGGCATTTACCTCCACTGCCTCTATAACTGGCATCCTCATCTGGTATAAATACATATTTCTTTGTTCAAGAAGAATACCAGGGAGCAAGGAGATAGACACCAGGGCCAAGCACTTTGGGGAGGATCCTGCTGTTACTAAGAGAAACTGGTTCAGTAATAACCACTGCTGTTAGGGAAAACTGTGTTCAGTTATAAATGAAGCCATCCTTGCCCATCCACTGGGGCTTCTTTTGGGGAGGGGCAAGGGTGATACAGTCCAAGGTTCTCACACAAATGAGTCTGGACAGAAGATGTTAAGTCTAGCAGGAGGGAGGCATTTTCTGCAGAACCTTCCAGAAAAGCAAAGATTCCCCAGCTTATAATCCAACTGCAAATGTGAAAGGCCAAATGAAGTACCCAAAACTAAATTTGTCCATAGCTGAAATATTTAGATTTGCTTTCTGCCCAGAATCCCAAGAGATACACATCCTTCACCTTTGCCAGGCTTCAACTGTGCAAATCAGTGTGGATCACCACAGACATAGGCCACTTCACACACACAAGTGGCCTTTGGTCAAGTTCTGCATGTGGAACAAATGTATATGGGCATGAATGGGGGTCTGAATAAGCAGGAGAAAAGTCACTGCAGACAGTTCCTATGCTTTCCCTTCTGGCTCACGAACTGCACAGTGCACGTTCTTCCTGCTACTGGCACCTCATGGGGACCCTTCGGCAACAAAGTTGGGGCTCCAAAAATGTAATCAAGTTCTAGATGTTAAAATTATTACCTAAAACCTGATTATATTTCCCCCAAATGGCAAGGCTAACGTGTTTCCAGACTGCTTTGAGTGAAAGATTTTTTGTGTTTTAGATTTTTTTGGGGAGAAGGGGAAGCAAGAACAAGTTTTATGAAGGAAAAGCTACATATTTTTTTTTTTGAAAAAGCAAAAGAAGACTAGCTTGTAGGTGCTGTTTGTCATGAATCTCAGTGCAGATTATGTATCAAGTCACCAAATGGGATTGGTGATATTGTCCTGGGTTCTCACAGAAATGAGCTTGGGCAGGGCATGTTGCTCAACAAGGAGAGAGGCAACTTCTTCAGAACCTTCCAGAAGAGCAAAAAGTCCCCAAAACTTATGTTCCAACTGCAATTGCATTTGAGACAGAGACATGATGGAACCCGGCTCTGCTTCTTATCTGAGTGTTGATCCACTTGGCTTGGGCCTTCCTTGGAAATCCACATGGCTGGGCAGTGGGCAGAGCTGGGTCACTGGACAGGGACCAGGTACTTCCAGGTCACACTGCAGGTGGCAGTGGCTGATCTCAGGCGCTTGGGTTTACGTCTCAAAATACTTGTAGATCTGGGCCACATACTGCATCACGCTCTGCCAGTCAGGTCGGTCTGTGTATAGCATCTCACTGAGCTCCTGTAGGGGAAGGGGACAGGTCACAAAGGAGACATCACAGGGTTTATCCTGCCTGGGAACATTCCGCTACACAGACAGAAGACGGAGGCAAACACAGGTGGTACAGGCTGTGCCAAATTAAAGAGAAAATGCTTTTCATCCTGTTTATTTGCGAGGCATTGTCCCTTTTAAAAGACACAGACATGATTGATCTCACCTTGTTTTTTCATCTTTATGACATTAAAAAAGTTTAAAAAAGGTTTTACATAGAGAGTCACCAGCAGAAAACTGTTCGTACTTTTCCAAATTAAATGTAAGTAAGTTGGCCCTGAATTTTCCAGGCTTCTGTCATGGGGGCACACTCTCGTTTCCCCTGATCTCTATGCTGTGCAATGCCTCACTGCTACCATGGTAGCGGCTGCACACTGTCTGAGGGAGCTGCTGTCCATCACTGATATGACACGTAGCTCACGTTCTCTTCGTCATCATTACAGACTTTCCTGTAAGCATCTCCTGGAGCCTTGCATTAGTCCCATAGGAGAAATTCCTAGGAATGAGGCCACCATACTCTGAACCTTATTTTACAGCACTATGTTACTATTTAATGTGTGATTTTTCTTTTGCTTATTCAGTAATTTTTTTTGCTACTTACTTATTTTTGGTTCTTAATTTTTCCTTTTTCTCTGCTAATTCTGCATAAGCCTGCACCAAACAAACATAAGATAGAGGCCAGAAACTGAGGGTTGGGCTCCCTGCAGAGCCCTTATTTAAGCATTTTGGAAACTGGAGCCACTGAACATCATGTTTAATAATTAACTCGGGGATTGAATTTGGACTCTTCTGTGGTCACAAGAGAACAGTAGCAGAGAACCCTGGCGGAAAGCCAGCAGAAATGCAGTGGAGTAACAGGGCTGCACTGAGCACATCTGTTCCTGGGCGGTGACACAACTAACGGAGGCTGTTAACAAGTCATTTATCCCCTGGTTCAACAATACCTGAAGACACATTTTACCCATTCTGCTTTGTGGTCATGCTAAAAATGATCAGCTTGTTACTATTCAAAGGTGGAGGGTAGTAAAGAAAAGGAGCAAGTAGAACACTATATACAGATATGTCTAGAAATAACATTAAAAGAAAAAACTCAAAACTGTTCCAGATTACAAGTAGCAAAAGTCTCTTTCCACCTACAACAATGTAGTAAGAGCCCTGTGCACAGACTGATATACAGCAAGCTAGAATTAGTACAAGATAGTTGCCAATGACATTAGGGAAAAAAAGTGATAAGAAGTAATAAAGACTGCGTATGCTTATTCAGAGGTAGCTAAATTCTGGGAAATTTAGAAAGGAAAGGGAAAAAAGACAACCTTAAAGTTCAAAAGAGACAGCAAACTTTCTATAGGGGAAGAGTGTGCCTTCAATCTCAGAATTTGGAAGTCTAAACAATATTCGTAGTTTTATACAGAGGACTTTATAATAGCAACAACTGAAGGGAAAATATTTTGGTACTTTAGTAACCTTTGAAAATTTTTGAATAATTCTGCACATTTCAGAGAAGAGTATGTTACATTAATAAAATCTTATAATGCACACCATTTGCTTGCCTAAGTAGTAATGACTTCCTTATGGCTTCAGTGGCAAATTTTACCAAATACTTAAGGAAAAATTAATATCACTCCTATTTAATTTCTTAAAAAAATAGGAGAAGAGGAAAGAAACATATCCCAATTCATCCAGCAGGGCACATCTGCTCAAACAGCAGAACTAGACAGAGAGGAGAAAATTACAGGTACATTTTATTTTATTTTTTTAAATTTATTTACTTGTGTGTGTGTGGCCAGCTCAGCCCACCAGGGGGCGGGGCTGGCTGGCATGTGGTGCCGGGGGATTGAACCACGGTCCCTGTGCTTTGCTAAGCTTGTTCTAAGTAGGTGCTTTAGACCACTGAGCCATCTCACCAGCCCCATAGATACATTTTAAAGATACAAAAAATTAACAAATTGTATAAGTATTAACAAGTTGAACCCTATAATCTATAAATGTATAATATATCATGATCAAGCTAGTTCAATATTTTTAAACCAATATGATCCATCATATTTATTAAAGAATAAAACCATACAATCAGATAATCAACAGATGAAGAAAAAAATATTGCACAAAATTTAAAAAAACTATTCATGAAAAAAACTAAGAATAGAACTTCTTTTACCTATAAAAGGAATATACAAAAGATTAATATCTGGTATCATATTTAATTGTAAAAGATGCTGTTTCCCTAAAATCAGGAATAAAGCAAAGATGTCTCTCACTTGTCCTATTCATGTTGGTACTGGAAGTTTTAGCTAATGCAATAAGGCATGTAAAAGAAACAAAAGGTACACAGGTTGAAAAGGAAGTAAAACTGCCTTCATCTGTAGATGACAGATTATCTAGGTAGAAAATCTCAGTGGGTCTACCAGCAAGTTTACTACGATCTCAGGATACAAAGTCATGGGGCTAGGGAGATGGCTCAGTAGAATAAATGCTTGCTTGGCAAGCGCAAGGGCCTGAGTTCAATCCCCAGTTCCGCAAACAAACAAATAACAACAAAAACGAAGTCAGCGTAGAAAATTCAATCATTTCCCTTATACCAGAAAAAAGCACCTGGAATTTAAAATAAAAACAATACCATTTACAATAGCACCAAAAAAATTCAAAGGTCTAAATCTAAGAAAATATGTGTAAAGTCTATAGGCAGAAAACTATAAATCATTGATGAATGAAATCAAAGATTTAAGTAAATGGAGATTAAATTTGCATTTATGGATTAGGAGACAGTATTGTTTGTCATTTCTTTGTTGTTTAATCTTTAGATAGACTGCATTCCAATGAAAATCCCAGTAAGTCTTTATTTTTTATAAATACTGACATATTCTAAAATGCACAGGCTGGTATATGGCTCAGTTGGGAGGTTATGGATACAGAATAAAAGAAATGAAGGGAGGGATAGTCACATCTTTTATGGGAATAGGTGAAGATTTTCAGGGAATTTGAATGCAACCTCTTTTCTCCTTCTGTAATTCTTTTTGGTGGTCATCAAGGCAATTATTAGTTCTCAGGGTACTGAAGGATTGTGTGTCTTTAGTACACAGATGGGACTGTAACATAAGACTGTCACCTTGTCTGGCAGACTCTTTGGCTGGGAGTGACTCTAATTCCCAACAGTTTTGTCTGGCTCACCTGAACAAGAATCTGTCCTGTAAGCATCTTGTCCCAGCCCAGATCCCAACATTACAAAAGTTCTAGGAAGATTGTCTCAGGGCCACTGGATCCCAGGTCCTTGATGAGGGAGGGGCCCTGAATTTATAGCAAATAAATCTCTCAATTTCTCAGAAGCAAGACTCTGAAGGCTGGGGTGGAGGTCTTACAGTGGCGGTTCCCTTTAACTTCCCAGGAGCAAGGCCCCCATGCAAGCATCCCGCCTTGATGGAAGATCCCACAGAAGATCCCACAGACCGCTTTCATTGCTGCTCAGTAGCTTTCTTATCATAAGAAATAGTTCTCCTATGGGTTTGGGACTGATCAGACATGCTCCATTGTGGTTGTAAAATCTGTTACCCATTTTTGACCTGAATCCTTTTTTTCTCTTGGTATTGTAGAACCAAGACTGAACACTGATTCAACAGTGACAGACTTTTATTCTCCGTAAAGAATAGAATGGGTAAAAAACTCTGCAAATATATTTCTCCCTTAACACATACTGTACTTCACAGCTTATACAAAAATTAATTAAAATAGATTGTAAATCTATAAGAAAAATGAAAAACTCTGAAGGTTCAAGAAATAAAATATAGCAGCAAATCTGCATGATTTTGGGTTGGGCAATGATTTTTCTTTTTGGTATTAGAAATTGAACTCAGGACCTCCAGGCGCTGTGCCACAGAGCAATTTATGTCCCCAGCCTCAATTTATTTAAAACTTTTTGTTTGTTTGTTTGTTTTTTTGAGACAAGGTCTCCTGATGCAGCTCAGGTTGGCCTTGAGCTCACTTTGTAACCCAGGCTGGTCTCCAACCTGCAATGATCCTACTGCCTCAGCCTCCTGAGTGCTGGGATTACAGGTATGTGCCACTATGCCCAGTTTTATTTATTTCAATTTTAACTTTAATTAGTACATTTTTGCCGTTCATAATGATCATTCCCCATTCGTCATGGGGAGTTGGTACATGTACATAATACATCTTAATTCTTGGGCAATGAGTATTTAAATACAACACTCTTTAAAAAACATACTTAAAAAAGAAAAAGCTGGATGTGGTGGCACATGCCTATAATCCCTGCATTTAGGAGAACTGGCAGGAGGATGGCCGTGAGTTTGAGGCCAGCCTGGGCTACATAGTGAGTTCAAAGCCTGAACTGCATAGTGAGACTCTGTCTCAAAAAAAAAAAAAAAAGAAAAGAAAAGAAAAAAAAAATATTCTATCACAATTTAAAACTACTTTCAGATCATTTCTAATGTTTCTTCCCCCTCCCCATCCCTTTTTACCATTTTGCATTCTCTTTAAAACAAAAAAAACAACTGCTTTGAGAGGTTGTGTGGTGACATACACCTATAAGCCCAGTACTCGGGAGGCTGAGTTAGGAGGATTGCTGCAAGTTCGAGACCAGCCTGGGCTACAAAGTGAGTTTAAGACCACTGTGAACTTCATAGCAAGACCCTCTCTCAAAAAGACAAAAACCAAAAACCCAAACAGAAAGCTGCTTTGAGAAAGAGACTGATATAAGGCCAGACATGGTAGTGCAGGCCTGTAATTCCAGCAATCAGGAAGCTGAGACAGGAGGATTACCATGAGTTTGAGGCCAGCATGGGCTACATAGTGAGTTCAAGACCAGCCTCAGCTACATACTAAGACTCTGAAAAATAAATAAATAAATAAATAAATAAATGAGACAAGTTACAGAATTTGAGAAAATATCTGAAATATTTGAAAATCATATATCTGATAAAGGATTTATATACAAAATATACAAGGAATCAAGGCAGTAAAGTGGGGTGGAGGCTGAGACAGAAGGATCCTTGTGAGTTCTTGAGACCAGCCTGGGCTACAAAGTGAGCCCAAGGCCAGCCTGAGCTTCATAGAGACCCTGTGTCAAAAAGTCAAAAAAAAAAAAAAAAAAAAAGGGCAGGAAATTTCTACTTTGCTGATGGTATAAACTAGTTGACCTACTCTCAAGCATCCCTAAATGCTTTTGAAATTAGTTATCATATTTGTCAGCAGCAACTCAACTGTCCTTCCAAACGAAACTGCTGGCTCTGCCAACCAGATCAAAAGATGATCTCACTCTTCTTCCCATCCCCAACTTCTAGAGGACAGTAGATGAAAATTAAGAAATATGGCAAGTTATGAGAGAAGCAAATGCTAACTGCAATATTAAGAAGCCAAAAACAGGGCTGTGTATATAGCTCAGTGGCACTAACACCTGCCTGGCAAGCGTAAGGTCCTCAGTTTGATTCCTGGTACCAAAAATAGAAAAAACCACTCTCTATATAATATAATCTACAAGTTCTCATGTCATGATCCTTATGTCAGCTCTGCTTAAGACTGGTTAGTATTTGTTCACTGTTTTGTTGTTTCCAAAGTGAGTGTAATGGTGCCTGCCTGGCAAGTAAGAGGTCCCGAGTTCGATTCTGAATCCCAAACCGCCGCCCCCCCAAAAAATCAAAGTGACTATAAATAAAATTCCTGTTTCTCAGCTATGGTCAGATGGGTAAGGCCTCTCTTCTTTTAAATTCTCAGCACATACATGATAGAAATGTTTATTTCATAAAGGCTTAACAGAATTTGAGTTTATTAAGATATTGCTTGTTTTTTTTTTTTTTTTTTCCTGGAACTGGGGATTGAACTCAGGCCCTTGCGCTTGCCAGGGAAGCACTTATTCCACTGAGCCATCTCCCCGGCACCCGATATTGCTTATTTTGTGTGTAACTGCATTTTAAAGTAAGAATTCAACTCTAATGGTTACTGTTTCTTTCTTAGTAAGTCTTGGAGAACTATTTATATTTAATATTTGAAGAAATATGTTGATTATTTCTCTAGGCAACTGTTCTGTTTCAAATTTATATGGATATAACATTTACAGTATGAAGATTTCTATGATAGTTGTACTTTTATGAGCTCACTATTTCAGCTTAGATTTTTCTCATCACTCATGTAATTGAACACTTTAAATATTTAGCAATCAGGCTGGGGGTGTAGCTCAGTAGTAGTTCACCTCCCATTTTTGAAGCTCTGGGTTCAAACCCCCAGCACTACAATCAATCAACAAATCAACCAATCCATCCATCCATCAGTCAAGTTGGCTGGCCATTCATGAACCACTTTTGTAAACTGTTCTAGACATTGATAATTTTCTACTAGGTTGTCTTTTTTTTTTTTCTTTTTTTGAGACAGGGACTCCCTATATAGTGTAGGCTGGCCTTGAACTCGCTTATGTAGCATAGGCTGGCTTCAAACTCATGATTCTCTTACTTTAAGCCGCCAGAGTGCTGGGATTATAGGTGTGTATCACCTCAACCAGCTTATATTGCCTGATTTTATCTATTATCTTAAGCTCTAAAACTAGCTGGTTAACCCAATAGCCATATCCAGCCTCTCTCCTTTGCATGCTTTACGTTAACAAAAGGTGAAAAATATGACATATTCACAGATGGGATAGTCATTTAGCAATCACTACCATTCAGCTATAAGAACCCTTGGAAGTTGTTTGCTTTCCTTATCAGAGGGCAAAGATGAAAGAGACTTGCTGGATTCCTTTCCTCTTCTTCCTGTCCAGGAAGTAATGGTTTGGGCTTGGCAGAAGTAATGGTTTGGGCTTGGCAAGCACATTCAACCACAGAGGAAGAAGTATGGGGTCAGAAAACCAACAGATTAAGGATCGTGGCAGGTAGAGAAGAGACATTTCACATCCTTGGTTACAACACTGAGTGGTGAGCCAGATCAATCTAGAACTACTTTTGGATGACTTACATACACACACACACACACACATGCATGCATGACACGCACACACACATCCCACTTTCCTATAGTTTCAGCTACTTGGGAGGCTGAGGTAGGGTGATTACAAGTTTGAGCAGGGGCCACTTACCAAGAACATGTCTCAACATAAAATGTAAAGAGGGCTGGAGATGTAGTTCAGTGGCAGAGTACCCTGGGGTTTGATCAGTTTGGCAACCTGTTTCATTGCCATTTTCATTACAGATTTTAATTTCTAGTACTTTTGATTACTTTTTCCATATTTCTCTTTTGTTTTTATTTTTTGAGACAGGGTCTCACTATGCAGTTCAAGCTGGTCTTGAGCTCAATTTGTAGCCCAGGCTGGTCTGGAACTCGCAATGATTCTCCAGCCTCAGCCTCCCGAGGGCTGGGATTACAGGGGTGCTCCATCACACTTGGCTTTTTGTATAGTAATATGTTCTTCTCTTATGGCTTCTATTTCTCCTTTTTATTCTTTAATATATTTAGGCATGGTTCATATGAAGTTTCTCTTTTTTAAAATTTTCATAGATAACCTTTAGGCTTGTAACTACTGGCTAACTCGACAATTTTCTTGAGTGTCTGTAACTTTGGCTTATGAACATCTCTTGTGGACCTTCTACTACTGGAAGTGTCCTGTATCAGTGAGTATGGGCTGTGGGTTCCAAGCAGCATAGATATAAATTTAGACTGCAAACGTCACCTGGCCCTCTTCTTACAGATTTTTACTTTTTGTCCACTGCCCCCAGAAAAAGTCCAAGGTAGAGACAAACTTATATTACTTCTTTGGATGTAGGTGTAATTTTAAAATTTTCTGTTTTCACTTAAAGTAACCTCATGTAATAAGCCTTGGTCTTTTGCAAGGTCTCACTACTAATACTCTGTTTCTGGGAGTGCAGGTGCTGTGTTTTGCTCCTGTGTGGGCACTGTATAAGCCCTATAGGCCATAGGTATGCCACCACCATTATTGGCCATCAGGGCCTATTAGGAATCTATTTATTTAGAACCTTATGCCACCATCTCCATTTCTACCCCAGGGGTGCCACAGTTTCTTAAGGCTCTGGTTTTTCCTTTCCTATTAAATTTCTACCTTTTTATTATTTATTGAGAGCTCAGCAATGTATTGACTTCCTCCTCCCCTGCTTTCATTTTTTAGAAGTCCTGGGGATTGAACCTGAGACCTTTGCAATGAACTATTTGCCTCTTTTTTTTTTTCATAATTTTATTGAGAGACAAATAGCAATAAGACAGTTTCAAATCAAATTGGTATGACAGTTTCAATAATTAACACATTGCATACTCTCTTCCTAGTGGTTATTTGCTGTTCAAGATGCATATATGATATCCTATTTACAAACATTATTAGAACAAATCCCTCTATTCATTAAGAGAATGTAACTATATATCTATCCTAACCATTTTGACTCTTCTTTTCTTGTACCAGGAATCAAATTCAGGACATTGTGCTTGCCAGGCAGGAGCTTAAGCTGACAACAATGTTTTAATGGTTATTTTGCTTACTGTATTGCTAGAACTGAAATTTATCCATAAAGAAGTCTAACTGAACATATATATGATCATACCAACTAGATAACTTTATATCAGGGATTATAAGTAACAGGTCTCCTGGAAATGGATTTTAGTGTTTTGTAAGAAAATGTTTTGTAGATGGCATAAATTTTTTTCATATGAGTAGAATAAAATACCAAGAAAATAGAGAACAGAAAACTTACCAGGCTGGGTTTGATGCCTACACTTTCCGCTGCTTCAAACGCCAACAAAAGATTCCTCTTCTAGGTTAAGAAGCAGAAAAACCACAATTATTCACTAAAAAGTCACTTTTACTAGGAAAGAACACCAACTGATAATTCCTTATAGATTTTCTACTACAGGAAGTCCCGGGTCTATGAACATTCGGGTCCCAAACTTTCACAGGTGTACTATATATATAAGACCTGGTCAGCTACGAATGAATTCAATTTATGAGCATTCTCCTGGAATGGAACTGGTTCATCAATCACAGACTTACTGTATTATAAAACCAGTAATATGTTAGTTAACTGCATGAACGATGGTCTCAGTTTAAGGAAAAAAAGATCCAAAGGCTGCAACTGTCACTGCAAATAACATTAGTGATTGACTTCTATCAGAGATCATTTATTATTTTTTTATTTTTGGATACAGAGCCTGCCTCAGGCTCCTCAGTGCTGGATTATAGGCATAAACCACCATGCTAGACTTCAAAGGTAAATTTTTGTTTCTCTGGTTATTTTTGGCTTTGCTAAGACTTATGACATCCACATTCTGTTGTGTAAGAAAGTGGTTGAATCATGGTGCTGTATCAAAAAACATTATCAAAGCCATATATATTATCCATATATATGCACATAGTTAAATACAGTAAAATGAAAAGCAGTTTTCCCCTCAATCTTGGTCCTTCTGAGAATCAGTTTTTAAGTTCTATTTCTTTTGGTGGTTACCTCAGTATTTCCATAATACACTAACACCACTATTTTTTTGGTACAAGGTTGGACTGGCCTTGAACTCACCATTTAGCCCAGGCTTGTGTCAAACTTGCAGTGATCCTCCTGCCTCAGCCTCCTGAGTGCTGGGGTCACAGGCTGCACCACCAGCATACTACTTCTCGATTTGTGAAACGGAAGCTTCATCTACTGACTTCCTCCCAAGACCACAGCAGACTTAGGTACCAGGAACTGCTGTCCTCTCTTTATACTCATACATCTAGTTATATTCCTTTACGGTTATTATATCTGTAACCTTCAGTGATGATCCTGAACTTCTGCCTCTGATCATGCACAGAGCACTGTGCTTTGTGAAAGAAGCAAGAGGTCTCTGTCATTGTGTCTCTACCTCATCCAGTTTTACATTTAAATTGTTAAAAGTTAAAACATCTGCTTTCTTTTCTAGCAGGACATTTAAGTCTTCAGAGTTCTCTTTCTAGGATGATTATAAAGGAAACTATAAACATTTACCCAGATGTGGACTACAAGTGTATCTTCTCTGTAGTTCCAAAGCCATGACCCTGGGCCACTCCAAAAAGGACTTCGCTTTTGGTTGCTCTACCCATTGCCAAACTTAAAACACATTTTAGCATGTTCCAGAATTGGAGGACCTTTCTTCAAAAGTTCGTTTATTCTCTACAGTTTCCGCATTTTTCCTAATCATCACGCTTTTTACTCATTCTAACTGGCTTGACGTTCGTAATATTCTCCTTGCGGCCCACAGACTTTCTGTCCTAATGAGTCGGCCTTGTATTTGGATAGTGACTTCCTTATGCAGCTTCCTATTTTTTAGCACCTTTTTTCTACCCTCAAGCTCTTTTTAAAAATTTGTATTAGTACATGTTTGCAGTACATAATGATTACGCAGTCACTACAGGGAACTGGTACGCATCTCAACTCTTTTTCCCCCCTTCCCACCCACTCCTCTTTTTCTGCCAGCCTCAGAGTCATTTACTTGTAAGTCCTTATGAAGTTAGTTATCATGTATACAGATTAACAACCAGACCAATAGGCCAAAAACATATAAAACACGTAAGAAATGATACTAAATCAAGGTACAATTACATACATTTCCTATATATTTTTCTCTTTTTTCCTATTATCTTTGTTTTTGTTGTTCTTTTTGAAACAGGGTTTCACTGTGTATTTCATGTTGGCCTTGAATTCACTATGTAGCCCAGGCTGACCTTCATCTTCCTGCTTCAGTCTTCCAAGTGCTGGGATTATAGGTGTGCACCACCATGCTCAGCTCTGTTCTAATATTTAGATATTTAATTCATTTTTGCTTTAGTTTAGTCTAGGGTGCATCTAGATGTGGGCCTAGATTCAATCTTCAGTATGCAGACTGCCAATTTTCCCAGCACCATTTGTTCCTACCCTTAAGTTCTTATTTATATCAGCATTCAATAACATCCTTTAGGGCCATAGCCCTCCAGAATCTCACATTAATTTTTTTTATTATACGCCTGTCTCAATTGAGTTTATTCTTAGTTGGCTCACTGTTACTGTTTCTCTCTCTCTCTCTCTCTCTCTCTCTCTCTCTCTCTCTCTCTCTGTCCTCTGTGTCCTCTCTCTCCTGTCTCTCTCTGCATCCTCTCTCCTCTGTCTTCTCTCTCCCCCTCCCCCCCCTCCCCCCCTCTCTCTACCCCTCTCTCCCTCCCCCTCTCTCTCTCTCTCTCCCCATTTTGAGCAGGCTAATCTTGAGCTCATTTTGTAGTCCAGGCTGGCCTCAAACTCACAGCCACCTTCTGCCGAGTGCTGAGATTACAGTCATGTGCTCCTACATCCGGCTCCATTCTTAGATTTCTTTCTTGAGAGAGGATATATTTAAGGAAAAATTTTCTGCATTTATTCATATACATTTTTCTCATCCTACTTGTCTGACAGTTTGGCTGTACAGAAAATTCTATATGAAAATTATAGAATTCCACAGTCATTCAACTCTAGTTTGTAGTTTTTCAGATTCCTTATGGCTATTCTCTGACTTTTCTTTGGACACATGGATTGAAGAATCATTTGGCCACACCCCCACACATCCATAATTAATTTCAAAACCATCAGGACTTATTAAAATTCAAACTGGCATGATACATATTTGTCTTGGGAGACAAAAATGTTCTATGTATTTATGTTGTATCCTTAGGTAGAATTTAGCAATTTATACATTTAGATTATATACATAACCTGGGCCTACTGGTGTATACCTGTAGTTCTGTGATAGTCATTATATAGAGACTACCATGAGAAAATTTGTTTCTCATTAAAAGCACATTTTTTTTTTCTTTTTTGTATTTTAGGGAAGGGTCTACAGAGTGTTCAGGGTCTCTCTATTAGATTAGACTCCTAGTGATCCACCTGTGTACAGTCTCCCAAGAGCTGGGATTACAGGCACGCACCACCATGCCCAGTCTCAATTGCCATCTCAGTGAGCCCTGGGGGCAGGGCTGGCACGGCAGTCCAAGGATCAAACCCCTAGCCCCTGTTTTAATTCGCTGAGCTATTTGGACAGTCCACAATTTTTTTTTTTTTTCTGAGACAATCAGGGGCTTGAAACCAATTTTTGCTAAAGTCCATGACTTCATGGGGGTCTAAAAATGTTTGATAAGTAGCTAAAAGTAGAACGAAGTCCAATTCTTCTCAGTTCCGCATATAGGTTATTAGTCATTCAGAAAATGTCTACAAAAGCTGGCAGAACAAAATTTACCTGGCCTAGCTCATTCCCTTTAAATATCGAAGGTGTGTGGTGGTACATGCGTATAATACCAGCACTCAGGAGGCTGAGGCAGGAGGATTGTTAGTTTGAGACCAGCCTGGGGTAGGGAGTGAGTTCAAGGCCAGCCTGAACTGCATAGCATGTCTCAGGGGGAAAAAAAAAAAAAGAAGGAAGACACTAAGATAAGAGAGTAATTAAAGTAATTCATTTCTATGATTCAGAGGGACATCTATGAACTAGCTTTTATAATGTCCAACTCCAGGTTTCTGTCCCTAGAGATATGCTTACTAGCCATTGTCCTGAACTTATAGTCACCTAAGTCTCAGGAGAACAGCTTCACAGGACTAAAACCATCACAGAGACAATCTTTTCATGAGAACAGAACTTTTTTCTTTTTCTTTAAAGCCATGAGCGTTCTTCAAGAACTATAACACTAGGACTGACAGAATGATGGTCATGACCCTGGTCTACTTCAGTCAATCTTTACTTTTGTGTGGGGCAGGTTTGGTCCTCTTGATTGGAGTACACCTTCTCCAGCTACTATTCAAGCTGGGGTCCTTTTTACACCTTGTTTCTTAGTTCCCAATTAAAGCTTTGCCCCTGTAAATGTGTGCTTTAGTTTGTAATTCCTATTATCGCTAAAACAAAGACTCATGGTAAGTAGGCACTGACAGTCTGTTACTCATGATACAACTATGAGATTAAAATGGATATTTAAAAATAACATTTTTTAAAAAAGGGATAGACTACTTCTCTAGCTTCTCAATGCTGTGAGCATAAACTGCCATCCTTAGCCCTGATGCCAAGGAAGATGCCACACTCCCAGCCTTCTGGGTCAAAGCTTGGCTAAATCTACATGTGGCTATTTCCTGGCTTTGTTCTAATCTGTCTATAAATTGGAGTGCCTTTGCACAGTGGAGGCAAGCTGCACAACCTATCTGGACAAGTTATGAATAAACTAACTTTTTCCATTTTTATGGGTTTTTCTTGTACTCTTGGTGGTGGGAAGCAGAATGAACTTTTCTTGTACTCTTTCTGGTGGAAACCAGAAAGCTGGGATACAGTCTCAGGCCAAGCTGGGCCCCACAGGCACCAGAAGCTGAAGTGGGACTCCTGAAGCCCAGGAGTCCAAAGCTGGTTTGAGCAACATGACAAAGATCTCATTTTCTTAAAAAACTTTTCATACATTTTCATTTCCCCCATAGCTTTCTTTCTGTCCTCACTTCAACATCTGGATCTAAGAACAAGGGGTTTGTTTTATAACACCGAAGCCAACTCTGATCTAGAAATAAGGTCAAAAAAAAAAAAAAAAAAAAAAGAGGGGCTGGGGAGATGGCTTAGTAGGTTCTGTCCTAGACAGGAAACTCACTCTCTTCCAAATGCTCTGTGTACTCCCTTTGTCTGCCAGGAAAAAGGATGAAGAAAAAAAAAAAAAAAGATATGGCTATGCATGTTTTCATCTAGCATGTGATCGAGGCCTTGGGAAGCTGTTGATCTGTGGTGATGTTGCCTGAACCACCAGCCCTCTTTCTTGAAATTAAGAGGGGCTGGAAAGATA